AACTATACGAGTTACTCGAGATTTTTCTTGAGAAATCGTAAAAAACACGTTTTTAATAAAACTTCGAGTAAATCGTAGAAAACGGCGACGATGAATCGAAACATCGAACATTGCCAAACTTTACGATTAACTCGAGAAACTTATTTAAAAACGGCATCGCATCAGGAAACGACCTCGTCTAAAGTATTAAAACGATTTTATCGCAGAACGGCTCGGAAAGTCTTAAAACGTGATAAAAGACAACTCGCGAATTTAAAGAAGTCCAGCTTCAAGTTTGAAGATAAATTTCAAGTTTGAGGATAAATAGAAGATTTCCGCAGGAAAAAAAAGGAAAGATCGAGATAAATGGAAGATTCTCGTTAAACTCGAATCTGGGTGAAATGGAAGGACTAAACCGCCTAGGAAGGGAGTATATAAGCAAGAGGCAGAGGACAGAAGAAAGGGACGATTTTCAGAGCTCTCATCTGAGACTTTGACAACTTTTCTAGACTTAGAATTTTCCGCACTTAGAAAGGTAGGCTTTATTCTCGACAAGTTCGGTTTCTATGACTGGCGCTCAATTGCTAGATCAAACTCGCCCAGGCAATTCGATCTCTTGTCCAGATCTACCAACTGAACTACGTTCGACTTGATCCTCGAAAGGAGTACGTAGGCAGCCTTTCATAAGGTTCAGTCCGAAATCAATCAAACTCTCTTTTTCTTATCTTTTGTTATCGAGCTGTGACTCGACTAGGTTTAGGGTTTTATTTGGATAACTAGTTGACGGCCCCTGCGGCCAATGCCTTTGTAATCTCTTGTAAAGATCGCAACGCTCTTACTCGAATTCGAAATAAGATCAACTTTCTTTATAAATTCGCTTTATCATGTTTTCCATATTTTCCACATTTATTTGGTTACTTTTCGTTGGCTTCCGCAGAGATCCGGGTCCTCTGGAAAATTAGGGTTTTCCTAAGTTTCCTTATTTTACGGAAATCGGCGGTGTGAATTTCGGTTCCCACAGTCATAATCAAAAAAAAAATCTGAGATACTTAACATGGGCAAGCAGGTGGCTGCTCTCATTTTGGAGCATCCTTTACCGGAACAACCGCGTCTTGCACTGTTAGGCTGCTCTGCGCCAAGTAAGTGTCTCGAACAAAATAATTTGTATTTATGTTTAAAAATTCTCTTATTTTCACACCGAGACGTTGTGAAGTAAGTATGGGGGAGGGTTTTTGTCGTTTACTAACTCGTTTATTTCTTTTGGCTTTTATGTTTGAGTCAGTCTTGAGTCATTTTGATTTTTTTATTGAGTCAAAACTTGTGGGGATTAGGACCTTATTTTGATAATCACTAACCACCTCATGCTTTAAGTTATCTTATTCAGTGACCTTAGCAGTGACGAAAGATGCAAACTTGGACCTGGAACACCCTGAATTTATCTCACCTTGCTCTCCAGAAGATTTATGCTTGTAGAAGTTACTCTGGAAATACCTAAGCTCCATCTAACTTGAACCTAATATGTGAATTAATTCTTTTTGTTATGGGCGTTAGATTAGGAAAACGAGATTACATTAAGGACATCTTAATTCTTTATATCCATCTTGTTGATTCTGAGTGGCTAGCTCATCTTTAGCTAGTTCCCACTCTGAACCTTAAAACCTTTGTTTTCGTCCTCATGCATTATGTTCTTAAGTTTCATATGTGCAGATATGTGAAAAAGGGCTGGAGAGGAAAGGATCAACACAGCTCTCACTCGTTTTGCTCACAGACTACGCTTCAAATCATAGACGTACATGATCTGACAAGAAGATAGCAGTCAGTAGAGTGATCCGAGCAGAAAAGACCAATTGGTGAAAGAAGTGCTAAAGTCAGAACCACCAGGGGCACACTATATGTAATTGCCTCCTTTTCGTCATCATCATCTGAACTCATCATTTATTTTTTAAAAAGCAGTGTTATTTAAGTCCCAAGAGTTCTAAAAGATGATGAGAAGAAGAAGAACGAAAAAGAAAACAGTGCCCCTGGTCAATTGATGAATGAAAAGCTGAAGTAGAATTGGAACAGTGTGAAGAAGGGGGATCTGGAAGAAAGGGAGCAACCTGTCAAAGAAAAGAGGAACAAGAAGCGACTGCTCTGCAGAGAAAAACGAGTGGGGTCTGTGGAGATCAATGGATCCATCCTCTCTTGCAATTTTGCGCGATATCCTGCATCCTCTACAGAGAAATGGTAACCCATGAACAGTTGTTAGCTCCACTTAAACACATAAAAACCCGTCTCACACCTAGACCGTCTACCCTGAATAATGTCTATGACAAGAAGCTCACACTGCTCTTGATTGAATGTAAGGAGTTTTTGTCTAGAAAGTGTGACTTTTGCAGGTTTGAGATATAGAGTTTGGAGCCGACTTGAACAGCAGTCAGTGGGGTTCTGGTAAGGGTGTGTCGTCCTAGTATGTCTGCTTGTGTGGTTTAGAGATTTGTGGTTAAAGTATGTTTTCTGAGCCATAAGAGAGTTCCCACACTTTCAAACTTTTCTCCCTGTTCTTGATACTTGACATTGTTTGAGGACAAACAAGGATCTAAGTCTAGGGGAATTGATATATGGTGTATTTGACATCTTGTATATATGTTTTCTTAATTTTTTTCAAGTCTTTATCGAGTCTTTCTAGTCCTTTTTGAGTCATTACAAGTGTGGAGTAGGTAAGGAGATCTTTGGAGAGACACATAAAAAAAGAATGAAAATTGGAAGTTTTTTGTCGCAGAGCACCAAAACGGAGCAACCCCTACTTGTTCCAGAAAATTATGGAAACTTCTAACTAATTTCGGGATTTGCCCTAGTTTTTCTATTTCCTTCTCCCAGCCGCCTGTGGCAGACAAAGATATTCTATATTATTTTTCCTAGATACTCTACACTTCTTTTCAGAGACAAGAAACTCTAGAGCTTTTGGATATTGTGATTTTGATACTTGTAAAGGGAAAATATCATCTATCTCGATTTAGAGAAGAATCCTCTGAACCCTATTTATATTTTATCTGCAATAATATTCAAATCTTCTTCATCTCTTGACTCTGTGTTCTCTGTTGTTATGACTGAGTAGTCGATCTTGTTAGCCTAGGGTTCTAGGGTGTTGATTCATCTATTGAACATAGATAAGCTTCATCTCTTTGTCTTCGTTATAGCTTCTCTTAATGCTAATATTAATCTAATCACTTAGTGTTTAAATCTAGGTTTAACCTTTTATCATTAACCATGAATTTGGTTGCTAGATCTGTTATAAACGAGCATCATCTCCCTAATCAGTGAGAGTAGATATCAGGGTGTGATGCGAGCATATTAGATCAGTGTTTACTGTTTGCTGTCGAGCGTTGATCCACGCGAAAGCATAGTATCATGCTCGCTCCGCGAAGGAGCATACCTGTTAGAGTAGAGTGTTCTAGTTAAGAAATCTGAGTTTTAGACTGTTCTTAATTGAGCTTGAATAATTGTTTGGTTCATTATGTTAACACCCAATGAAGCACCCAAAGCTAGCATTCTTCATCATCAGAAACCCAACTCAAGTCATTCTCTTTTACTTGCTTGTTTTATTTTCTTACTTTAAAACCCATTCATTATCTTAGCTTAATATTGATCCCATAGGAATAAATGTATGATTTGGTCTATGTGGATTCGATCCTAAAGTGCTACATCGACATATCATTCGATTGTGGTAGTGTGCACATTAGATTAATTAATTGGTGTGCGTATACACGTTATATCAAACACAATGCCAAAAACTACCTCCCTTAACTGTCTCCAGTGTTATAGAGTTTGAAGTTGGCAAAATGAAACAAAAGAAATTTAGAAAAAACAAGAAAATAGAAAATTTACATGTGTTCGAGGGGAATCTCGACCAATACTGAAGTGCTATTGACCGACACTATCTGGTCCACGACTCATATTTTTTAGTCTGAATCACTTACTAGTGGGTTGCCTCCAAATAAGCTCTTTTTTTTTAAGCCATTAACTCGACATTGGAGGCAATTTTTTGTTTGTAGGAGGGTGTGAACTTAATCAAAAACAAGTCTCAGTGTCTGATATTCTGAGCTTTAACTCACTGCTCATGGACCTTTTCCCAACATCATGTCCTTTGTCTTTCAACTCTGAGGTGAGAAATGCTCAAAATTTTACAAAAGGCTGTGAGATACCTCTGCTTTGCACCTTGTACTCAATCACACCATCTGAACATCTTTGACGAACCAATGTTAAGTGAGGAACTCCCTTGATCTTTTTGCTCTTCATCTCCTTCTTACCATTTCCCCCAAACTTATGTGATGGTATGCCAATGTCTCCATCCAAGACTTTCTTAACATCATTCTTATCATCTAAGACTTTTTAAGAAATAGCTACACGCAAAGGGCATTCATATTTTTTTGTTGATCCAATCAGGTTGGCATTAACTATCTTCCGAACTAGAGATGGACTGTCTTTCTTCTTGGGTTTTTTCTCCTCTTAATAGGCCTTTAGACTATTAAGCTGGATTCTAGGACCAGGTTTGGACTAGGGTAAACCCACCTCCGACAACCACTCTACTATCGGTTATATTTGATTTGCAATGAGAACACAACTCTTTGGTTTTATGTTGCATGTTTTCCAACAACATTACAATTGTCTATGGAGAGAGGAGAAACTTAAGAACGCAGGGAGAAATCCCAACTCCTCCATAACAAGTAATCATCATAAGCAAGTCAGAAACATAGCATTTTCCATTAGAGCAATGAAGGATGAGGACTAAGAGACTTGCCTCTCAAATCTCCTTATAGTACTCCACTCATAGGTAATCAGCCGCAACACCATTTAGAAATCTCATTTTAGTCATCAGATTACGAAATAAGAAGTCACACTTGCTTAAAAATGATGTTTTTGAGTATGAACAAATTTTACATTAGTTTCAAACTAAGTTTAAAAAAAAAAAAAAAAACTTTTAAACTGTTGAATTTTTATAGTTCACTCAGAACATCTCATAAATAAGGAAACAAAAGGGAGCCAATATCCGTTTTTCCGATGATACATACAATATACATATCTTGAACAACTTTTTGATTCACTATATTACAACGACACTCTATTACAACTCAACGGGAACTCAAGTCCGTGAAGACATTGCTCATTGACATTGTACCATCTTCAGATTGACATTGACTTCCACTCATTGCCGGAGATTTAGGTAAAGGAATGATGATAGTCTCACTGCCAAACCAAACTATTACCGAGCTCATAGTTGGTCTCTTTGCTGCATTCTCTTGAACACACAATAAACCAATCTGGATCAACTTAATGATCTCGTTTATCGGACCCTCCGTCAGTAAAGGATCAATTATAATCTCAGGCTTTCCTTCAACCCATCTCTTCCATGCCTGCACCCAAGAAAGTATATATTTTACATTCTTTACAGATATGTTTGAAGATCCAAGAAAAAAGGAGGAAATAAGCTTACATAAGCTGCAAGTCCTTCTCCTTGAAAGCTATTGTTTCTTTCCCCACATATCATCTCTAGAAGCATAACACCGAAACTATATACATCAGATTTAGCTGAGATTTGCCCGTGATTCAAGTATTCCGGAGCCATATATCCACTGTATTTATGCAAATCAATTAATGAATATTTGATATATAGTCTTTATGTGTCTAAAAATCCATATCTTTGTGTGTCTTCAAGGCTGGTTGATATACTCTTACCGGGTTCCAGCTATTCGTCGTGTTTCAGCTCGAGTCTCATCAGCATCGAACAACCTGGCGGTCCCAAAGTCTGCAACTTTAGGGTTCATCTCAGCATCTAACAGGATGTTGCTTGCTTTCAAGTCTCGGTGAATAATCTTTAGCTGAGAATCTTCATGAAGGTAAAGAAGACCTCGAGCAATGCCTTCTATAATTCTGAATCTCACATCCCATGTAAGAAGTGAACGTCTCTCATCATCTGCACAGTTTAAAGAAACCTTTATTTATAGAAGTTTCTAAGACTATACAAAATAGCAGCTTTCTTTCTAACGCTCACCAAAGATAAAGTGGTCAAGACTTGAATTATGGACAAGCTCGTAGATAAGAATTTCTTCGTCTCCTTCACTACAAAACCCAAGAAGCTTAACCAGATTCCTATGTTGGAGTCTTGTCAAGAGTGAAACCTCATTCTTAAACTCTATGTCTCCTTGTCCTGAACCTTTAGCTAATCTCTTCACCGCTATCTCTTGCCCGTTTGGTAATATCCCCTGAAACCGGTTCTCAAGATTAATTACTCATACAAGACCATGTCAATCATTAATTGTTACCAAAAAATGTTATATACCTTATGCACGGTACCAAATCCACCTTGGCCAAGCTTATTCTCAGACGAGAAGTCATCAGTAGCCGTCAAGATCATACCGAGACTAAACCGTAGCATAAATTGACCATCAGACTCAGAGTATTCTGCACTACCAACTAATATAAAACAAAAATAAGTCTTAGTCTCTTGTCTTTGTATAGCTTCACTGAAATAAGTTGTAGCTTTATATACTTTGAAATGGAATTAAAACTGTAAATTAGTTGTAGATTTTTTTTGGCTCTAGAATTTTAAAGATTTACTTGTAAATTTTCTATAGTCAAATATAGGTATATATTTTTGTTTTCTGCAGAAAAATAAAAAGAAGAAAATATTAAGAAAGAAAATCGGTAGTTTTAAAAACTTCATTCAACGTGATTGGAAAAAAAACTTTATGCTTTATAAAGAATTTGGACTGTATAGAAAGAATCTAAAGCACTGACAAATCAAACAACTAAGATTGATTGAAGCAAGCTAGAAACAAGGTACACTTACTATTATTGTATCCGTTGTTTGATCTTCTCCTCCCAGCAAAGAACTTTATGAGACCGATAAATACCAAAATATTGATAAAAGTAAGAGCCACAAATATCGCTATGATTACCCACGACCTTGCGCTTCTTCCTGGAAATTACAAACCCTTTTTAGTCAGTAAACCTATTTATCGTACTTACAAAGTTTGGCAATGCTTGAACTCATATGTAATACCTTTCTTGTCGATTGCAGAGCCCTCCTTTTCCTGAGCCGGAGGTCGAGGCGGCGCAGGAACCTTAGTAACATCACCAAAAGCACCGTGGAATGTATAAAAATCCCACCTGAAAAAACAGCTCGGACGATTGACCTCGCCTCCTTGTCTTCCCCAAAACTGGTTTTTATATAACGTCACGCATTCTCCTAAACATGTTTTGCAATCTTGAGAAGTTATGTCGGGTGTGCACTGCATCAGCATGTAAACATTCGGAAACTCGGTAAACTCGGCTTTTCCGGCACCATAGTACTTAATTACCGATGAAGTTTCAGCATCCGTGGCAGCCTTGGTAGTCCGGTTAACCATTCCATCCCACTCTTGTTCGAAAATGGTCATGTTATTAGATGTCTCAATACTCAGCGGACTTGGGTATATTATAGCAGGTCTAAGTTCGAGTTTCCCGATAGTTGAGGGGTTTGAGGTACGTACAAGACAAGAAACATTGTCTTCAGCGTCTTTGTCCCACGTGAACGAATCCATGCGGTTAAAACAGTTTGTTTGTATACCCCGAGTCGCGCTTTGGACACAGTTGGAACAAGCTTGTTGGTCGTAGCCTCTTTGGCAGAGGACAAGAGCGTAAACGATGTTGGGACTGTTGCCTAGTGAAGCGTTGTAGAATCCACCGTTCGCAATGACTTTATCAGCAAGGGTAGAGAAGATATCGTCCCGGTTCTGAACGAAGGTGCTGTTAGTGTTGAAAAAGCTTCCGGCACACCCGACGGCGCTAACGACTTGGAGATTTTGAAGGACAAGAAGAAGAAAAGAAAAGAGCACGATCATCAACGCAGAGCAATTTCCCATTTTTTTTAATAACTATATCAACTTTTATTTTTTTTTTCTTGTATTAATTCGTGACTGCCAGGAACTTATCGAATTTTAGAGGTCTGATATATTTATGCAGATGATATGAGAAAACGTGCCATGCTTAACTTCCTAAGAGCATCACCAACTAACTTGTGAGTTTATTAAACTGAATTTCTAATCTTAAAAAAACAATATTTAACATAGTACCATTATCTTTTTCAAAAAAAAACATAGTACCATTACGTATTTTTTTTAATTAACTATTTAGTAAAGGACATATGACACTGGATATTTTATAAGTTAAATCTAAATATTTGTATGTTTTTAATATTATTATTAACATTTTTTTGCCATGGTCAAAGAAATGTTCATGATCGTCGGCGGCTTGGATATGATTTTTGTATGTTTTGTAGGGTCAGCTGCAATCATCTAATGGGTCAATAATATGGATATAAATTGCAGCTAGCGACATGACTACAATTCTGATCCTATGTTAATTATCTTCTTGTTTCAGTTAAGTTCATGATTAGACCAAAACTAATACTCTCTCCATTTCAGAATACTTGTCATTCTAAGTTTAATTTTTTTGTTACAAATTAAGTATCGTTTTATAGTTTCGAGACAAAATTTATTAGTTTTATATAATATTTTATTTTTCTAATTGGTTGAAAAATGATTAGGTGTTTATGTAATTATTTTTTTATTTTGAAAACATGTAAAATTAAATATTTTTTAATCTATTTATAAAAACTTAAAATAACAACTAAACTGAAACTGATGGAGTAATAGTTAGTTTATTACTACGATGCAACTGTAGTGTTATATAGATACCGTTAGAAGGCAAACTTACAGTGGATGAATCCCTTAAACTATAATCATGTCCATGAGGTGAATCATCATAATTTAACTAAAGAAATTCCATTTGGAATAAGTGACAATATTATGTTAATACTAGAATTCCTTTGCGTCTGTAGAACCCCAACAACTCTTTCCCGTTTACTCTTTACTGATAGGGTTGCGAAAACAAGATTTGATTCATTTGATTTCATACAATTTAGAGCATTCCGGTTTGAAGGTTATTGTTGTCATTTGCAGTACAACCATGCATGTTCTTACCTAAATAAATGGTTTCAACTTAAATGTCGTAGCTAAGATATTAGTACGTACATGTGGTATATCAGAGCTATAGTTTATTGTAAGATATTAATAGTGTAAGATTAATTACTTTATTGCCAATAATGTAAGCTGATTGTTGTATATAATGTATAATCTTTAGTCCTTCAACAACATGCAATATTAAAGATTTACGTTTTGTCATAATGTATATGTCCAAAAACTATGGGCTGTTTAGAAAAGGAACGTATATTTTATGTCATAGTGGCATGTATTCTAAAGGAAGCACCGTGAATTCACCAGACAAAAAACAAAGGAATAGGAAGCACCTTGTTACTTTCATGGAAAAAAAAGAAAGAAAGACTAAGACCTTTTCTGAGTGTATATTTCAACTTTTATATATTTATATTAGTTTTTGCGGTTTAGTTTCCACTTTTATGGATCAGAAATTGAAACTTAAGAGTAGATGAAATTATATTAATTCAAAGTTCCAAACTTCTATTGCACGTTCGTTGAGCATGTTTTCTACGACTTTAGTTGTGGTCCATTCCAACTTATCTTGAGTCATCTGGGTGGGTTTAGCAAGCCTTCCAGCAAAATTTGTTGAAAAGATTGTGGATATTTTAAGTAAGGCAATACATCTAGCAACTCCACTGGAGGTAGGGATCCACCGCAGATAAAAGAAGTAAACAATTTGAACCAAGTCAATACCTCACGAATCTCTATATTTACATCTAGTGATCCTCTTTTCCTCAATCCTTAACTATGACTACTCTGAACTTTTGAATTTGACTCTTCAAAAAAAAAATTGACTATTCAGACGCTCTGTTCAGTTTTGATGTACTTTGAGAAATCTCAAGCAATTTTCAAACATGTGGTTAGTCTCTTTTGATTTTGTTTAATTTCCTTGTTTCTTCCGTGTGACATACTCTGTCAAATGATACACAACTTAACATCATGGTGTGTGGTGTTTTCATCTCTATATTTACGAATACCAAAACACCTCTACTATTAAACTTTGCTTCTTTTGTAAATGTGATATCATACATAACCTTTTTATATAACCTTTGTATATACCCCCACAATCCACTTGAAAGTTATCTAATGATTTTTACCAAGTTTTTTTCATGAAAAATGTCAGTCCTATTCCGCGGCTCTCCTTTCAGTGGTAAAGCCCATCAAATCGTGTTACCTCCCTCAGCTAGAATTTTTTAGGGTTGCATATATGGAACGCTCGAAATCTGTGATGCTTCTTGCTTATTGTGTTGAGAGCTGAATATTTTTCACTCGGAGAACTAGATTTTCGTTTTTAAGCTGTGATAGCTTTTACACGTTGTGCTCCAACTGGAGTGTTTTTCTATTCTATTTTTCAAGGCTTGGACCTCCGAGGTGAGTATGTGGTTACTAGTTGAGACGTTGCTTTCCCCAGCTGTGTGATCTCGGTAATCTGTCTTTGCTTATTCGCGAACTGGGCTAGTTATGTTCACTTTCTGTATTCGTCACGTAGCTCTGGTTACCCTCCCCCCCTTCTTCTAGCATCAAACCTTTATAGTAACCTTTGTGCAAAGTTCTTTATGGCACTACAGAAACAAGAAGTGAATAGTGACAAACATGAACAAGGATCAAAACTAGTTTACTATTGGTAAACCGAGCATAGACTACAACATATTGGATAATAAATCCTAGTTCTAGCCGCCTAACTCAATAATTGAACTCTTGAATAATCATTTTTTTTTGTAGGGTTTGGGTCCCTTTTTTATAGGCTTTCGTTAGCCAGGAGTTAGATTATATCCGGAAATATGAAAACATCCTTTAGAAATTTTTTTATTTTACCCAAAGACAAGGTAATCCGGCTCTATAGGCTTTCGTTAGCCAGGAGTTAGATTATATCCGGAAATAAGAAAACATCCTTTAGAAGTTTTTCATTTTACCCAGAGACAAGGTAATCCGGCTCTGAAGCCGGATTTTGTCTAGACAGGAATTGAAGGCTGGCAACCTACTCGGAAACATGAGTAATAACTTCCTAGATTCCTCGGTTGCCGGGGTCTCCTCACTTCACCTCCGGAGTAGCTAGTTTCTGATGAACTTACTAGCCTTGCAATCTACGCTATCACTGAAGCACGAAACATGTATAGAGGATACAAGATGAATCGAAGCTTACCTAAGCAGACCGGATGCCGCGACAGAAAATCTCCACTACAACTCCAAATCCGCACATAAACAAAGAAGACCACAAGATCACCTTTGTCTGTGACGAGATGCAAAAACACGGGCACAGGAAGGCCGCCCCTTCTGGACCAGAGAAAGCTCCAAGCTTGCATAAAATAGATAGCTAACAACACTACCATAAGATTCAAGTGAAACCATGGCACTGGGATGTGTTGCTTTGCCGTGAGGTGTCACCGAGGAAGAGCGGAAACAGACGACTAGCTGAAACCACCACAAACCACGCGCCGACTTTGAGAACCGAAGATTGGTATCCAAATGCCGCTAAAAGATGACCTGGTGACCTCAGGACAAATGAACCAATAAACCAGAAGCTGAAACACACCAAAGAACCATGTCGACAATAGCTCACTCGGATACTGAACCAAAAGACGGGAAGAGAGGGACGATTGGAAGGGAGGTGGGAGGACATGGCAATGCCTCGGAGAAGCCATAAACGACTCCAAACGACACTGCAACACTGCATCACTCCACGCGCCACCACCGCTAACACCAACACACGTCGACGCCGACAGCTAAGAATGGCCTCAAGCAAAACTGAGCCTCCGAAACTCCCAAGGTGATGAATGAAAGGAGTCGACTCTCCAAGACGACGAGAAGAGACGAGAAGGCATACACACCACCACCACTCGAGCTACATACCGGGAAGATGCAGAAACAAGACTGCTAACCATCTCTAGAACACTAGCCGCACCTCTTCCTCCGCGCGCCACCAACCCTCCAATCAGCTTAAAGGACCGACTGCATAACCTTCCAATCCGCCACGAGAAACAATACCACTCACCGCCTCCGGACTCCAAAACCTAGCAGAACGACGCTTGAGCTGGACCTCTTTGAACACAGAGACAAAACCGACAAGACCCTAGGCCCACAGTCACGAAGAAAACGGCGAGGGAAGAGAGACCATGACAAAGCAAAGTTCAAACGGAGATAAGGTGAGAAGAAGATTCGCCTTCGGCAACGACACCGCCGGGACACGCAGCCAGGCATGGAGAAACACTCTATTCATACTTGGTAGAAAAAGCACATATACATGATAAAGTATACATAATCTTATGAAGCGATAAAAACTGGGGTTTGACAATCATCTCTAAAGACAAAATACATATATGTCTTCCCAAAACTCCCAAACTCTCAAATCTGATGAAAAATAAAGATAATCTTAACAGTGGCTGGAGTAAAAGAATATATATGTCACCACAGACGTGTCAGTCTAATTGGTTTAATCGCATTTGTTGGTGTTGTTTTCTGGATTCAATCCAATGTGGGAAAAGTGTTTTATGCCATAAATGATATTAGAAAAGGTTGGTTCCAGACCTAGGTGGGATTAAGGCCCAAGGCTCAAACTCGTGTAGATTTTTTTTTTAAAGAAAAGAATAAAAATCATTTCAGCAAAACCAAACCAAAATAAGGAAATTTAAAACAACTTTCTTGTATTTAACCGACAAAGAAACTAGATTTCAGCGAGGCGTGCATAACCTTCTATCTGACAATTGGATCATCCTTAATATTTTGCATTATAAATTAAATTATCTATCTAGTTTCTAAAAATAAGCTCAATCATTGGTGGGAAGCTTTCCAAACATTGCTAAACTTATACAGCATCTGCAAAATTTTGCATCTTTAGTTTTCCGCTTGCATCCAAATTGATCCTTTATGTTCCAAAATTACTCGTTCTATTACAAATTAAATCGACCTAAAATCAATAAAGGACTAAAAGGATCTAAAATGACTTGATAAAAACTCAAAACAAAGGTCAGAAATCAGTTAAACACACATTTGCTGTTGAAATATAAACATGGTTTTGGGCTCTCCCACTAGTCCAAGATTCAAAGCAAAAGTCAAGAAGCCCAAGAAGCCCAAGAAGTGTGTAGAAGAAATTATGGATAAGACTAAGAGAATGATCTAGAGATAGCTTAAGTAGTATAAATAGGGATGCTTGGCTCACTTGTAAGATTATCCCACAACAAGCAAAAGCAATCATAAATAAAGAGTAGTAGTTTTAAGTAAGAGTTCTCTCAAAAGAGTTATAAAACTCTCTCTAAATACAAAGCTTGAGTAGCAAATCTCTTTTCTAAATACGGAGGCTAACTTTTATAGTAGCAATCCAATTTCCAACTTATCCGCTACAAGAAACGTTATCCTGCTAAAATTTCCAACAGTTGCAACTCACTGATGGTCTCACATAATCTCTTCTGGTCACGTTCAAGATCATACATACCAAGACTGGTCTAGACTAAGTCAATCTTAAGGGGGCCTTCAGATTCATAGAAATTGAAAATCAACTTGGTATCCATTATAGTTATTAACATATATCCGTTGTACAGCTTTATAGAACTTAGGAGTAGGACTGTATTTTCTTGCACTTTTTTAGAAGTCTTTTTTATTGTTCCCTTTCTCAATCAATACAATTATAATAATACATGGTACTAACCTAAAAATACCATATTTTGATTAACAAAATTATAACTCAGCGAGAACTCAACTCTGTGAAGACATTGCTCATCGACATTGTACCATCTTCAGATTGAGATTCATTCCTTGTCAAATCCTTAGGTAAAGGGATTCTGATAGTATCACGGCCAAGCCAAACTATTAAAGACCTCATGGTTGGTCTCTTTGTTGCATTCTCATGAACACACAACAAACCAATCTGGATCAACCTATTGATTTCATTACTCGGATTCTCTACCAAGAATGGATCGATTATAATCTCAGGCCTTCCTTCATCCCATCTCTTCCATGCCTGAAAAATTATATGTATATATTCTTACTCTCTACATAGTATAAAATACGAAAATAAGGACCATAAATATATGAAGAAACTTACAAAAGCTGCAATTCCTTCTCCTTCGTAGCTATTGTTTCTTTTACCACTTATCATCTCTAGAAGCATAACACCGAAGCTATACACATCAGATTTAGCTGAGATTTGACCGTAATTCAGATATTCAGGAGCCATATATCCACTACATATAGGCAAATAATAATGTTAATTGATGGTGAGCACATATTAATGTGTCTTTAAAGTTGATTAATATGTTTTTTACCGAGTTCCAGCTATTCGTTTTGTTTCAGCTCGAGTCTCATCACTGTTGAACAACCTCGCTGTCCCAAAATCTGCAACTTTAGGGTTCATCTCTGCGTCTAAAAGAATGTTGCTTGGCTTCAAGTCTCGATGAATAATCGTCAGCTGAGAGTCTTCATGGAGATAAACAAGACCTCGAGCAACACCTTCTATAATTTTGAATCTCACCTCCCATGTAAGAACCGAACGCTTCTCTTCATCTGCAGAAACATACTTTTCAATTTCTAAATAGGATTCTTAAAGTCCTCTTTAATTTAAAAGTGGCTCATTAGAACCCTAGCCACTCATCCTGGTAAAAAAAAAGAAAAGCTTAAGACATAAATTAAATAAAGCCCACTTAAACATCTATAAATAAAAAGCCGAAAAGGCATATCATGACAAAAACGATTTGACAATTTTCTAACATAGATTCCAAGAGGACCTAATTTCCTCATAAACACGGCATCACAACGACTTACCTCTTTGTAAACAAACTACTAGCGGCTTGATCCTTTTTCAAATATCAGATTAATTGGTTTAATCTGGTTTAGTTATAGTTGGTTATTGATTTCTAGTCCACATTATAGACCGGTTCTCTATTGTATATATAGATCAATTCGATCTCAATGTGGAATAAGAAAACAGTTTACCAAAAGTCTGTTACACTAATATCAAAGGATGTGTTGGAATCTTGTCAAGAGAAAAACCTCATTCTTAAACCTACTTTCCTTATCATTGCCGAAAACTACTCATCAAATTTGAGATTCTCTTAACCACTCAATCAAATTTGAACTATCTTTAGATAACCTGAATTCCGTTTGAACAGACTCTAAAAAACAATTAAAAAAATGCAGCTGTGTTACGAAGTCTCACTGAAGATAAAGTGGTCAAGACTTGAGTTGGGGACAAACTCGTAGACAAGAATCTCTTCACCTCTTTCATGACAAAAACCAAGAAGCTTAACCAAATTCTTATGTTGGAGTCTCGTCAAGAGAGAAACCTCATTCTTAAACTCCATACATCCTTCTTCTGAACCTCCGGTTAATCTTTTCACTGCTATCTCTCTCCCGTTTAGTAATATCCCCTGAAACCGGTTCTTAAGACTTGTTACTCATAAAAAATCAAGATATAAATAATTCATTAGTAAGAAAAATATTGTTACTACCTTATAGACCGTACCAAATCCACCTTGGCCAAGCTTGTTTTCTGACGAAAAGTCATCCGTTGCCATTAAGATCATACCAAGATCAAACCGTAACATATATTGACAATCCAACTCAGAGTACTCTGCATTACCAACTAAAAAAAAAAACGAAATAAGTCTTACCCTCTACATTTAAGGTTGATTGATGCAAGAGACAGGGTATATATATACTTACCATAGATTCCATTGTTGCATTTTCTCCTCCGAAAATAGTATTTGACGAGACTAATAAACACCAAAAGAGTAACGAAAGCAGGCACAACTATTGCGATAATGACACCCAACCTAATGCCTTCTCCTGAAAATTATTAACCATTTTTTGCTCTTATCCCTCTATCATTTATGTGACAATGCTCTAACTCATTTTTTTTTTAACCTTTCTTTTGATTTTCAGGTGGCTGAACTCGAGGAGGTGGATGAAATATTGTTACATTATCAAATTCAAATGCACCATGGAAAGGATATAGATCCCACCTGAAAATACAGCTTGGGCGACTAGCCGCGCCTCCTTGTCGTCCCCAAAACTGTGTTTTAAAATATGCTACGCAGTTTTCCAAACATATCACGCACTCTGGGGAAGTTATGTCGGGCGTGCATTGCATCAGCATGTATACACTGGGAAATTCAGTGAGCTCGGCTTTTACAGCACCAAAGTACTGAAGTAGCGAGGAAGTATTAGATTCCGTGGCAACCTTGATAGTCCGGTTAACCGTTGCTTCCCACTGTTTAGTGAAAAGGGTCATGTTCTTGGATGGTTCGATACTGTCTGGACTTGGGTGAATGACAGCAGGTCGAAGCTCGAGGCTCTGGAAAGTTGTGTGGTTTGAGGAACGTACAAGACAAGAAACTTGGTCGTCTAGATCATCATTATTCCACTGGAACGAATCCATGCGATTTGGACACCTCGTTTGTATATTCTGAGTTGCTTTTTGGACACAACTAATACAAGCTTGCTCGTCGCCTCTTGTGCAGAAGACAAGAGCGTGAACTCTATTGGGATTTTGGCCGAGTGGATCGTTGTATAAATTACCGTTGGCAACGACTTTTGAAGCAAGAGTAGAGAAGAGATTGTGACGATTCTGAGCGTAAGTGCTGTTAACGTTGAATAAGCTTCCGGCACACCCGACGGCATGAACGAGTTCGAGGTTTTGAAAGACAAGAAGAAGAAAAGAAGCGAGGAAGATCATCAAAGCAAAGCATTTCCTCATTTTAGAAATTATTAGGAAAAAAAAAAAAACTTTCTTCCTTACTTGTACTACTTCGTTATGTTATACTATTTATATATCTGAGCAAAACCAAAGACTAAGAACATGCAAATTAGTTAAATAAGTAGGTCTTCATCAATCTTTTTGTGTATTGACCCGTATATAAAACGTTCAATTTTGACGGGATTTGAATGTATACAATAATAATTAGGAGGGATTATTAACAGGTTCAGTTAGGTGTCTTGCTTTGATGTGAGGCATAGTTTTGAAAAGACTACTCAATTTGGAGGGACTGTTAATAGGTTTATGAACCGACTAAGTGATTACGTTTTAATTATTGAAGAATCTTCGGCCGACTCAAATATGTCCTAAACCCTACATCCGAACTCTAAACCAATTATTTCCCAATTACTCAAATTGACAGGATTGCAAAATACTCCCTCCGTTTTATATTAAGTGTCGTTGTAGAGAATTTTTTGTGTTACAAAATAAGTGTCGTTTTCGGTTTTCAATGCAAAATTTATTAATTTTATTATGTAATTTGTTTTTCTATTGGTTAAAATATGGTTAGGTGTATGGGTAATTGTGTTTTTATATAGGAAATATGTAAAATTAATTGTTTCCTTAATCCGTNCGTTGTAGAGAATTTTTTGTGTTACAAAATAAGTGTCGTTTTCGGTTTTCAATGCAAAATTTATTAATTTTATTATGTAATTTGTTTTTCTATTGGTTAAAATATGGTTAGGTGTATGGGTAATTGTGTTTTTATATAGGAAATATGTAAAATTAATTGTTTCCTTAATCCGTGTGCATAGCTGTAGAGTGACACTTATATTGAAACAGAGGGAGTATGAATTTAATCATCTGATTTCATTGTAGGAGACATTATCTCTATCAATTTAGAGAATTCCAAGATGAAAGTCGTTATTGCAAGTAAATGTCTTTTTAAATGTAGTAGATAGCGTTTGAACTTTTCATTTCATTCATACCTTTCAAGCGACTTCAGAAACGGTGACAAGTTGGCAACATGATTAAACCGAAATTCTTATTTTCGCGGAAGTTAATAAACTGTCTTTTAAATTTCAATTAAAAAAGTTAAGAACTGATTTTTAAATAAGTATTTTAAGAACTGTTTCTTATTTTTTTGATTAAAAGTTAAGAAATAACTTGTTAACTTCGGTTAAGAACTTAAGAACACCAGGTTAATTATGTTTTAAAAAAATCTGGAGTTTCATTATTGTTTCTGCTAATGTAAGCCGTTGTTGACCAAAACATAGTAACAAGTACATTATTTTTTATTATCCCCTATATATTATTTGCGAAGTGATTTTGCCACATATCTTCTCTACAATCAGTTTCACAAAAAAGGTGACATGTCTACTAGAATTGATGACATGGCATATGATTAAATATGACATGGACAATTGCATTTAATGTTAATATATATTTTTGGAAAAAAAAATTATAAAATATGGTAACAACTCATATATTAGATTTGATGTCGATTTATATTTTTGGAAATATTTTTAAAATATGGTAATAACTCATAAATCATCATTAAAATAAATATATTCAAATATGGCATTATAAATTTCGAAAATATCATTTAACTATATATTTTAAAATTATAAAATTTTATTACAAACTTTTCAAAAATGTATACCTTTTTTGAAAATTATTAAAACTTAATCGTAAAATTATTAATTTATTATATATTTACAGATTTAATAAATATTGTTTAATTTTAATTTTTGATAATTATAAAATTTTCTACAAATTTATTTAATATATTTAATTAAAATAAATAGATAAAAATTCTATCTAAGATTATAATTTTAAATATACATATATGCATATTCTTAAATATAATTTAAAATAAACAATAATATTTTTCTATTATTTTTATGTTTAATTAAACAAAATTTTGTATTAAAATAGTGATAATAAAAAGAAAATTTATAATATTAATAAAATTTTAATTTTAAACATAATTTGGAAAACTTTATAAAATATGGTAACAACTAATATATTAGATTTTATGTCGACTTATATTTTTGGAAATATTTTTAAAATATGGTAATAACTCATAAATCATCATTAAAGTAAATATATTCAAATATGGCATTATAAATTTTGAAAATATCATTTAATTATATATTTTAAAATTATATAATTTTATTACAAACTTTTCAAAAATGTATACCTTTTTTGAAAATTATTAAAATTTAATCGTAAAATTATTAATTTCTTATATATTTACAAATTTAATAAATGTTGTCTAATTTTAAATTTTTGATAATTATAATTTTTTCTACAAATTTATTTAATATATTTAATTAAAATAAATAGATAAAAATCTAACTAAGATTATAATTTTAAATATATACATGCATATTCTTAAATATATTTTAAAATAAAAAAAAAATATTTTTCTATTCTTTTATGTTTAATTAAAAAAATTTGTATTAAAATAGTGATAAGTAAAAGAAAATTTATAATATTAATAAAATTTTAATTTTTAAACATAATTTATATTGTATCTGTTAAAAAAATATTTTAAATTTTTTTACTACACATGGTGCAGGAGAACACCTAGTATTATTATAAAATCGCGGAGTAACATTTAGCATTTATTTTCCTCTCAAATACCGTTTGGACTAAAGTTTTAATTGTTAATATCCAAATTATTTTTGTGTTATGAGTCAATTGACTCTTTCTTTTATTGGTTTTAGAAAAAGAATTATATATATATTGAGAGGAAGGACATTTAAGTACTGGTTTTATATTCGGCTATGAAGAGTACATGCATTTCAATATTCAAGCTATAATTTTGGGATCGATTCTAAAGATCTAATTGCAATGTTAAAGGAATCTCATGAATGACCAATTTTTAATATAATTGGAGGTTATGAAGACTCTTTAGATATATTTTCCCGACTTCAAAATCTCTTGCATCCAAGAACAGAAGAAATTTCAGATTCCTTAATTAGATTACTGAGATTTTTCCATAGAGATTTTTGTTACATTAGTGTTATATTCCGGTTTAGTTATTTATTTTAAGTTTGAATAATAAAATAATCTTTCGTTGTTGGTAGAAAAAGTACATATACAACAAAGATAAGTAAATTTTGATCCGTATAACTGTATAAGTGTTTATTTTATTTTTATATAAATATATATATTTGTCATAAGTAGAAACTTTTTACTATTATTTTGTATTAAGTGTCATTTTTTTTCTCATAAGTATAATATAATATTTCATATATTATTTTTTCAAAAATAAATTGCTATTTATTTTTCATGTCACTATTATATATTGTATATGTGTCATCATATAATTAATCGTATTTTATACATACCATCATATAAGTAATCATATAAATAATAGTGTTTATACGTAATATCATATAAATAATCATATATATTATACTTTTAAAACTTAATGTAAAATATAAAACCATAATTTAAGTTGGTGTTTGAAATTAGGCTCTGTATTTTATTTTTTTCTTATATATATTTAAATTTTTTTATAATGTTTATTAAATAATATTTTAGTAAAAATTAATTTATGAATATATGTATATTTTTAATCATTTTTTGATATAAATAAGTTTTAGATTAATATTTTGATATGTGTATATAAAGTTTAATTTTGTTTTATGACTATTGTAGAGAAAAATATGTTCTTAGATAATTAGATTGGATCATTTTCGTATATTTTTAAGCTGACCCAAATATATAGTTTCTCATATTATAATAGATTTTTAATTTTTCTTAATAACATAAATCCATTATTTTTTAATATATTACTATCTATATTCTCAAACATTATATTTTTTTTTTTACTGCTATCTGTGTTGCAAACATTTTCTAAAGGTACTTATGTTTTAATAAGATAGATAATAGTATATAATATATTTTGTTGAATGGAAAAGGATAATAGTATATTATATATTCTATTCAACATGAAAAAAGAAATATTACACACTATAAAAAAGCAAAGATAATAAGCGAGGAAAATATAGTTACTACATCAGAGCTAGTTGATTACAATACGGAGGTTTTTAATAATGTAAGCTGGTCGTTGCACATAATATATACTTTTTCTCAACAACATGCAATAGAGAAGACTCGGACCTTTTCGCTAATACCAGAGAAAAGATAAACAAAAGGAAGCACCTTGATACTTCCATAAAACACCAAAAAAATAAGGGAAATTTGTCAAAAGGGGACCGAAAAACACAACTATTTTCCCCTTAGAATAAAATCAAATTTTGGTACTTTTGAACCCTCACTACCCTTTTTATATATAAAAATTCATAGTAAAAAATTGAGGAAAAATATACAATATGAAATAGAGTAGCATGTGAATATATGAAAAATATTTTTACATTCAAAAAATGTTTGGAATAGTAATCTCAAAAATTGGATAAATCGGGTAGTAAATCAGATCTACCATCTACGGCGGTTCAGAATAAACAATCTATCAACAACTAATCCATCTAAAGAGCTTAGAATGCGTAATACACCAAAAACATATACATCTACGAATGAAGAATATGATAACTGACATTTCTTCTTTGTTATGCAGTTTCAGTAGAACATAGCATATACTAAAGACCCATCCGTCTACCTTGGCAGA